CGGGCATGAGCTGGCTGCGGCGTCTGCTGCGGGACTAGGACGCCGCCATGAACCTGCACCAGGTGCTGACCGGCGCGGTGAACCCCGGCGACCACTGCTTCTCGGTGGGCAGCGTCGGCGAGCAGCGCTTCACGGTGAGTGCGGGACACCGAGGCCCGGGGCAGGCTGACGCTCGGCTCGCACGGCCTCCGTCCACTGAGCGTGCTTTCGGGCTTTAAAAAAAAAGAAATGTTAGTCTGACCCCCCCCCCCTCGGGCCGAAGTAGCACCTCCAAAATGATCGTTTTTGAATCACGAGTTGGGGGGTGGAGGTGGGGACCTTTTGGTTTTTTTTCCGCTGCATGGGCCTGAATTGTCGAATTAATTTGGGTTCAGTAGTTGGGATATGTTTCTTTCTTTCTTTTTTTTTTGTTCAGTTCTAAGGTCAAGTAGACTTAAAACAGTTACTGATTATTAAACCAGCGCCAATGACACTGTCATGAGAACAGCGCCTATTTATTTTTCTTAAAGTTTACCGACGAACAACTTTGCAAAGAAAATATTCTTCATTCATTCCTATCACCCTTTGAGTTGCAGAGGCAACGGCCTTGTAATCCTTAGAAAGTTTTGAGGGTGTTCGAGGTAATTACTGACGGTTTGACCATTATATTTTCAGTGTAGCTCCTGTTTGCTAAGGGCAGGTTAAGATTTAGCCAAAGTGACTTGCTAGTAGAGCAAAGATAGTCTCTCACATTTTCTGGCCTTATCAGTATAATGACATTTCCTTTTCTATCTTAGTTTAGCTTTTCTAGTAATTTCAAGTCGTAAGTCAGAGGTGGACTTGAGATCTTTATTAGTCCGAACATATTTGTAGTGCTGATGATTTTTGCTACAACTCTTTGATTAAATGTAAAATTCAGTTTTGTACAACTAAAACAATCAGTCTAACAGATGCCCCAGGCTTAGGGATCTTAATTTTTCTGGTGTGTGTGTGTGTGTCTTTGTTAGACAAAGTAATACTCAGCATTTAACATGATTCAAGCATTTAATGCTTAAACTGTACTTTTAGAGTTTTGTCAACCAAGCTCATTGCTTTCAGATAGAGGCCGTGACTTCCAAATGGAGTGGCACATGATGCTAGTAGTTACCCAGATTCTACTTCTTGATGTTTGCCTAGCCTAAAGTTCTCGGGGGAGTGGAGAGAGGAGAGAGGGCTTAGCACTTGTTACCCTACAACAGCTGGACATTGCTATCTGTTCTTACTGAGTGGAAGGAAATACAGCCTCCTTGGAGGTCTTCCAGGTGAGAGATTATAGGATAGAGATGTATTGCATTTTCGGCCATCCCTAAGCTTTATGAGGGCTTTCTCCAAGGCAATGCAATGAACTTTTAAAGAAGGCGTTTTGAATGGACATAGGCGATGTGGGTACTTCAAAGCATGTGTAATATGATAGTCCATTTATACACCTACATGCATCTGTCTGTAAAACCTTGGCCAGTTGCTTCCATGTTGGTTTTCAGGAGCCAAGGGTTGTATAGTCTTATACTGTCATGGAACTTGTTGTCCAGTTCTCTTTTTAAAGTCAGTTTTTTCTAAAGCAAGCATAGATGACCTTCCTCAAGCTGGTTGCAGATTGCTTCCAGATAAGCATACAATTAAATAAGTTAAACATACATTTATTCACACATTAGATACCTAAACACATATAATATAAATGCATTAGTTTGGTGTAAAGATCCTGGCTCTCTCCTGTTTGGGTAATAGTTTAAAGATTACAGTCATGTTTTTTTTTCTGCAGCCAGCTGTAGTTCCATTTCAGCCAGCTTCTTCCCTTAGTTTCCTGAGTAAGTGGGTATATCTTATCGTTCTTTGTTTTGAAATTGCCCCCTTTGGGTTCATGAACAGTCTGTTGTTTCCTCCCTTGAGATTTGTTTTTAACCTCCTTTGAGTGGGATTGAAGGCTCTGAGGGTCAAATCATAGGCTTCTGGCATTCCAGTAAACATTCCGCTGAGCTCAGCCTCCCCTAGCTTTTGAGTTCTTATTGTTTTAGCAAGAGCAAAAGTTAATGCTAGATTGTATATGAAGACGCGAAGCCCCTCTCAGTTGCAGTTGTACCTGAGGTGGGGACTTGAAGTCTTGCAGTCTCCCCTCGAGGATTCCTTCGTCCTTTGTGGAACTTCATGATGTCTCTGAAGATGACAATTTTTCCCGTTACATATCTGCAGATAGTTAAAACACTTGTATTGGAGGATTACAAAGAACAAGACTGGTTCCTAAGTAAAGTCTTGACATACTTCAAATTGAATTTGAATTCGATTTTCATGTTTCCAAATGCACAATTAGTAATATAGGCTAGCATACCAAAACGTTGTTGTTGTTTTATACATTAACTGCCATCAAACTAGTTTGGATTTACCCTTAGACGGCTACCGGTGGGCACTGACCGTCTCACGCATGCTTTCAGAGTGCTTTTATTTCATTATTAAGCAGTCTTCCTTGAGTCTGTGGCTTCATTGTGAGCCCCTAGACAGTGACTGAGGTATAGTGATACTTGGTAGTTGAGTCATAACTGGTTAGGTTTCAAGCATGATTCTTTATAATTAGGCTGGTTTTCTGTTTGTTTGTGTGCTTGCTTGCTTGCTTGTTTTTGTTTTAATTTTTAAAAAATTCATTTGTTTTTGTTTCAAGGATCAAACCAATGGGCCTTGCACATGCTCACATGCTAGGGAAGCTCTCTGCATCCTCAATACTGTTTTCACCTTTTCTTTTGAGACAGAGCCTTGCCACACTGCCCAGGACTTGTGACTCTCCTGTCTGCTGACTAGCTAGGGCCACAGGTCTTTGTCATTAGGTATTTTTGAGCACGTTCTTTTCTAACCTTTAAATTTTATCTTTTTTTTGGTTTTGGTTTTTCAAGACAGGGTTTCTCAGTGTAACAGTTCTGACTGTCCTGGAACTTGCTTTGTAGAAAAGGCTGGCCTCGAACTCATAGAGATCCGCCTGCCTCTGCCTTCCAAGTGCTGGTATTAAAGGCGTGCGCCACCACTGCCTGGCTTTTTGTCATCTTTTAATGGGACACTTTTTGGTGTTTGTTACATGAAATTAAGGTTATAATTCATTGTACCTAATTCATGGTACTTTGTACTAGAATGTACTTTATAAATACTGGTTGACTTGATGAGTAGATAAAGCAGCTATATGCAGTGTAGTTAATAATTTCGGTCTTTTAAAATTGCTTTAATAATTTAGAGTTGGGTCTAAAAACAATATTTCTACCAAAATTTCCTGAAATTTTTTCATAGCCCATTTGTTACACGTTTTATTATCAGCATAAAGTGAGAGCTAGAGGAGATAATGGGTACATTGAGCCAAAAATATTTTTTCTTTGGTTATAGTAATGCTTCCCTCATTCTTTTATCCATCTTAATTTCCCTTTTTTTGGGGGGGGGGCGGATTGAGGAAATGCTCTGTTTACAAGACACAGTAATTTAAAAAAGAGACCATTAATTAGAATCTAGATGTTGTAATATTTTGTGTAGAATTCTGACATAAAATACTTTTTCCTTTTGTAATTAATCCATATTTAGTGCTGACAATGTGTTTTGGGAGAAATAGAAAGGGAGTTAATTTTTTTCTGTTTTGTTACATTTTATTTGTGTGTGTGTGTGTGTGTGTGTGTGTGTGTGTGTGTGTGTCACATGTATGGTAGTCAGAGGACAGCTTGTAGGAAATGGTTCTTCATCTGCTGCTGATTGAGCTCGGGGTTCTTTGGATTGAATTTAGGTCATCAGGGTTGGTAGCAAGTACCTTTACTCTCTGAGCCATCTTGCTGATTCAAGGAGGTTAGTTTTTAAGAGACGAAAGACTGTGCTAATATTTAGGATTTTCTTTCTCTATGAAGAGAAAAGCAAATATTTTGTAGCTTCAGGCTTTCTTTAATATTAGACAACTCTGTGCTCAGTCATCACCAAGTGGCCGCAGGTATAAATTGAAAAATGCAGCTATGGTTCTGTGGGGGTTTGGTAGGGAGACTAAGTGAGTTTCTCTTCCCCCGACTTTCTGTGATAGTAATCATCCTTTGCTTTAGTTTAGGGGCGCTTTATTGGTGGCACTAGTGCTATATTGGGAAAGTGGAAAGGTTTTATGAATGGTGTATGTGCTTGTGTAGGGACATGGGAGTCTGTGGGTGGGGAGGTTATAGAAGGGGATTATTTGCCTTTGTACCTGTCTGGAAGAAGAGAAAACTGTTGGTGGTACCTGTAATGCCATTACAAGTAATTTAGTTGGGCTTTGTTTTAAATTTTTTGGTTTATTTTATCAGTTACTGTGATTTCTAGGAATAAGTACACTTAATTAAAAAATCACTAAAATAACATTAATTGTCAATATTATGGTTTAAAAAAAGAGAATAAGCATTAATTACAACATAATCAAACTTGAGCCATTTAACCAGAACATATTCTAGAAAGAAATTTTTTTAGGGCATTTACCTGATATAGTTGATTAAAACAAAAGGTTCACAAAAACCAACTCTAAGTGTCTTAGAGAAATGAGTTTCCAGATTAGAAGACTGGCTGTTACATCGTTGGATACATTTTGAAATTTAGACTATTCCAGATTACTTGTCAGATTTGAAGTTAAGAATTCCTTTGACTGATGCCTCCTAGTGCACTGGACTCAGTTCTTCCTGTGTACTGCATCTTGTTTTCTCTGAGGTAGTAACTTCATCTTACCTGCACCTAACTGGAGGGCTTTCCTCTGAGAACCTTAATTGGCTAGGAACAAAGTACTTTAATTATAGTTATTTTTTTGAGACAGCTATACAGCTCAGGCTGACCTCTTAACATCAGCCACCTAAGCGCTGGGATTATTATATGTGTCATTCTCCTGGCTTGGTTAGAGAGCTGACAGAAGTAGTTGGTGTACCAATTATAATATACGAACATTTTGTGAGAGTGTATTTGATAATCCAGCATAGTGTTGTTGCTATTATTTGTTTATTTGTAGTGCTGGGAATTGAACCCAGGACCGTGTTAAATACCTACTCTGTCACTGAGCTACATTTGGTAATTCTCCATATTATGGTCAAAGCACCATTGAATTAGTTTTTGTGAATAATTTATTTCAGACAAGTCAATAACACTAATGTTTAAATTTTGTTGACTTTGTTTTTGTTTTTTGAGACATAATTCTGGCTATCCTGGAACTCATTATGTAGACCAGGCTGGCTTTGAACTCACAGAGATTGAAGGTGTGCACCACTGTGTTGGCTTTTGTTGTTATTTTTGAAATAAAGTCTTATTATGTAGCCCAGGCTATCATCTCATTTACTAGGTAGCCAGGGCTGACCTTGGATTTAGATTCCTCTTGGCCTCATTCGTGCTGGGATTGCTAAGGGCCTGGCTCACAGTCCATTTTAAGGCCCTTTTTTTATTGGTATACTTTCATGTTTATCACCCTGACAGGCAATATAAGTTCTAGAGTTGAATTAATTTTAAATATTTATAAAACTAGGTTACTTTTAGATGATTCATATAGATATATATATATATATCTCCCTTTGTTAGCACAGACTTAATGTAAATTGATAGACTCAAAAAATGCAAAACAAACAAAAAATTATCTTCAAATTAGAATGCATTGTTTCCACTTTCCACAAACTTTGGAAAACATTGCATCAAAAGAGTTACTGTGCTCTCTCTCTTAGAAATGACATCCCCTTATTTGGGGTCTAGGACTTGAAGCACATGTGATTGTGTGAGAGAGAAATGAATGCAGGGTGAAACCAGGGCTTCTTGTATGCGAAGACATGCTCTGCTTCTGATCATGCCTCTGATCACTCTCTCTGCTCCTGTATTTTCTAGCAGTTGACTTCTGATCACTTCTGTGCTAAAGAACGTGGAAACCAGACCTTGAACCTTGTCATTATTTAGCATGGTTATTTTTAGACATCTATATCTTATAAGTTAAATAATTTGACATGAGTTAATTTAATAATAGTCTTTGTCGTTAAAAACATCTCTTAACTTTCTTGTTTTCTTGAGTCTAACCAAATCCAACACACTTCAGCTTTTGTTTTTGTTGTTGTTCCTTTCTGTATCTCTGTTGCTGGCTCTTGAGCACTCCTAAATAATATAAATAAAACTGGAAAATGCAATCATATTTACCAACTTTAGGTGGGACCTCAAAGCTTCCTAGGCACCCGCCTACCCATCTGTTCATTTTTGTTTGATCTCATGTTCTGAAACCTCCCAGCCCAACATTGTTGCTCATATAAACATCCACCTGGAGTCTGTCAGGTCATCATTCCCTCATTGTCAATTGCAAGCCAAAAAAGTCACTGTATCAGCAGCCTTTTTTTTTTTTTTTGGTCTTTGTGCAATGAATGATATTACTCTGTATTACATGTCCCAGGTTAACTCCTTTCTCTATGCTGTGGGTTTGATGCTTGGATTTTCACTTGAAGATGCCACAAATACTCAAATTCATTGTTTAGACTCAGTTTCCCCTATAGGTGTATCTTATAACCTTTCCTTCCTACCTACCTTGTTTGGTTTGTTTTCCTACATCATTATCTTTGAGAATAGTTTCATCATCTAGCTGTTTTTCTTCTCTCTCCCTCCCTTCTTTCCTTTTTTTTTCTTCCTGAGACAGGTTTTCTCTGTGTATCCCTGGCTGTCCTAGAACTTGCTCTGTAGACCAGGCTGGCCTTGAACTCAGAGATCTCCAAGCATTGGTATTGAAGGTATGTGCTAGCACCACTTGGCCCCAAGCTGTTTTTCTAAGCCAGAGGCTTGGTAGAATCCTCAACACCACCTCCTCCAATGTTTTCTCAAGTCCTGTAGAGTCTACCTCCTAAATAATTTTCAGACCTCACTCATCTTTGTCCCTACTACCTCAATGAAATAGCCTTTTACCCTATGTCCTATGCAGTCATGCATATCTCCAGCTGAACACCGCCAGAGCAGAAAGCACATTAAGATAGGTGTGACTTCTTCAGGTATTTTAATAGACATTTTTAGTCTATTGCTTGTAGAAGCTACCCTCTTAAACTTGAACTGTTTAATTTGTCATTCCCAATGTGTACAGTAGGAATCCTAAATACTTTGTCTCTCTTACATCCAAGCACTTTTGTACATTCTTCAGGCAACTTTTCAACTCCTGCTTTTGCAGAAAAGATCTTACTATTTAGCTAACACCTCATTCCTAAAGCCTTCAAGTAGAAGTCTCTAGTCAGAGTAGCCGTTCCTCTTGTATTTATTTATTTGTTTGTTTATTTTTGAGTCAGGGTCTCTACATAGCCCTGGCTGTCTTGGCTCTTGCTCTGTAGACCAGGCTGGCCTCAAACTCAAAGAGATCTGCCTGACTCTGCCTCCCAGGTGCTGGGATAAAAGGCGTGCGTCACCACCGCCCAGTGGTGTTTTTCACTTTTAAACCATAGCCTAGTTCTTCACTCCTGGGGGCCATGATATCCTTTGTCATTACATCTAGAGATGCAGCTAGAGAGGTAAAGAGTGGTGAATACGTGAGAACAGGCGAGACAGTGAGCATGGGGTGGGATCAGTTGCTATAAAGACTAAGCACATTATAGGCAGCACCACGCCTGGGCAGGTGGTCCTCAGAGGTCTAAGAAAGCATTCAGATTAGTCTATTTTTGGATTATATAGTGTTGAATAATGTTTGATTTTAAATTTTGTGTTTGAGCTGCTAACTTGAGTTTCACCAAAAGTCTTTCAGTGAATTTTGGTTTATTCTTAGGACTGAATGTCCATCAATTTCTGAAATTTCTCTAAGCATACTTCTGCCATTTTATACTATGTATTTTATGCAAAATGGTGTTCTCAAAATTCAGGATTATAAAATGAATGTATCAGTAAACTGAAAAATATTAGACAACATGCTATATATCGTTTTTTCATCAAATATTCAGCCAAGATTTTTTTAATAAAAAAAACAAGCATATCCATTTCACTAATTTACAAATTTTCTTCTACCTTTTATACATGTTAAAGTTCTGTGTATACCAAATAATTGTTTTAAAACACTTATCATTAAATGTTTGATTTTTATATATATTTTACATATCTGTATACCTTGGGCCATGTAATAATTTCTCAGTTGGAAAAGTTTTAAGAAGCCCTGAGGTCAACAAAGACCAGACAAATAAAAGTCAGATAAGTTACTGAGATGGAAAAAGGAATAGAAGGAAGGCAGTGTAAGGACAACCAGGTGAGGGAAGGAGACAGGCAGATGGGCTTGTAGAAGGGTAATCACTTAGGGTACTGCCCTTGTAAGGTGTTGTTGGGTTTTTTTTTCTCTTTTTTTGTGGGGCCTGCCAGCCAGCTCCCAAATAAATCACACACAGAGGCTTATTCTTACTTAGGAATGCCCAGCCTTAGCATGGCTTAGTTTCTAGCCACCTTTCCTTAACCTACAATATCCTGTCTTCCTTTTGCCTCTGGGCTTTTCCCATTCTCCTACTTCTGTAAATCTTACTCCTACCCTGTGGCTTGCTGTGTAACTGGGTGGCTGGCCCCTGGAGTCCTTCTCCTTCTCTGGCTCCTAGCTCTCCTCCCACATTTCTCCCTCTGTTTATTCTCTCTGCCTGCCAGCCCCACCTATCCTTTCTCCTGCCTTGCTATTGGCCATTCAGCTCTTTATTAGATCATCAGGTGTTTTACAGAGGTACAGTAACATAGCTTCACAGGGTTAAAAAAAAAATGCAACATAAACAAAAGTAACACACCTTAAAATAATATTCTACTACAGTAAGGAGTTGCGATATTTATTGCAAGTGTAGTGGGAAACTTTAAAAGTTAAGCAGGGATTATAACTTGATGCAGTAAACATCTTTAGAAGTCATTTTTGTTTGTTTGAAAACAGAGACAAGGATATAAGCAATTGGATTGTTAACAGTAGAGCAGGAGACAGATGATGAATTTACAAACAGGGATGATAACATTCAGTGAAGATGGAAGAAATGCATGTGATTGGTTTTAGATGGGGCTGATTTGCAGTGGATTTACATATAGGAAGGAAAGAAAATAATTCTAATAAAGGCTGTCTCAGAGGCAGTTAAAATTTATGTGTTTTAAACAATATTTAATGCCAGTTTTCTACATATTTTCTTGAAATGTCTATCATTTTTATTTTACTTTTTTAGGCCTATGCATCTGGATGTGACATTGTAATACTGGGAAGTAATTTTGAAAGATTACAGATCATCCCAGGCGCTAAACATGGAAATATTCAAGTGGGATGTGTAGACTGTTCATTGCAACAAGGCAAGGTTTGTAACATTGTCGTAACATGAAGATTTGTTTTGAGTATGGTTTTTGTCAGAATAATCTCTGAAATATATATTTCTTATTCAACTAAGACCTCCTTTCCAAGGACAAAGCTCTCTACAAATACATTTCTTTGGCTCTCTAAGATGCCTTTTGGAGAATGTTAGAAATTCAGATGATTTTTTTTTTTTTTTTTTTTTTGGTTTTTCGAGACAGGGTTTCTCTGCGTAGCTTTGCGCCTTTCCTGGAGCTAACTTGGTAGCCCAGGCTGGCCTCGAACTCACAGAGATCCACCTGGCTCTGCCTCCCAAGTGCTGGGATTAAAGGCGTGCGCCACCACTGCCCGGCCCAGATGATGATTTTTTGTTGTTTTAAAATATTTGTCTTTGTTTTATATGTATGCCTCAGTATATTTATGCTAACTGTGTGTGTGTAGGTGTCAGTTGATGCCAGAAGAGCGTTTTGGATTACCTGGACCTAGACTTAACAGTTGATTATGAGTTGCCTCATACGGGTTCTGGGAGCAATACTTAGGTCCTCTGCAAGAGTAGCAAGTACTCTCAATCAGTGAGTCATCTCTTCAGCCCATTCCTGATTTTTGAGACAAGGTCACATTATAACCCAGCTTGTCCTGGGAACTTACTATGCAACCCACCCGGGCTGGCCCTGAACTCACAGCAGTCTCACTGTTTCTTGAATGTTGAAATTACAGGCATGAGGTATCACACCCAGTTCGAAATTCTGTTTTTGTATAATTTTAAGATGTAGCAAATCTTCTCTACTAATTGAGATAAAAGCATAGTACTGTTTACCTATAAACTTGTCTTAATGCATAGTTTTTCTGCATTAGAAAACAAAAATAAGGCGGAGGTAGAGGCAGGTGAATCTGAGTTCAAGGCCAGCCTGGTCTACAGAGTGAGTTCCAGGACAGCCAGAGAGATACACAGAGAAACACTGCCTCAAAAAACAAAGAAATCAATATAAAAGAAAAACCTTCTGAGAGGTTTACTTCCTTAAAAAGGAAAGGAATAGCATTATTTTCAAAAGATAGATCATTGGTAGACATTCTTTGTACGCAGATAATTATTCTGGTAACTTCTGAAAAACATCGAAAGAATATATACTCTAAAATCTGGAATGTTTTGTTAATTTTTAGGTCTAAGAAAAAACTTTTAGGACTTCTATTTGTATATGAAAAGTAAAAATAGTAAATTGAAAGTAAAATAATTACAGCAAGTACAAAAGAAACAACATATAGTTCTTGTTGATCATTTTAACTATAGTTGTGTGGAGTGTCCTAGGAGTCATACCAGGCAACATACAGACCTTGAAATAGCGAGTAAGTATAGATTAGGCCTATCTTATTTATTTATTTATCTGTGTATTTATTTATTTATTTTTGAGGCAGGATCTGGCTAGTTTGGAACTTGCTATGTAGACCATGCAGGCTTTGAGCTCACAGATCTGCCTGCCTCTGCCTCCTTAGTGCTGGGATTAAAAGCTTGCACCACCATGTTAGATGTCTAATGATACTTTTGATAAAAGGTGTTTCTATTTCAGTCTTTACCTGTTTGTTGTACTGCCATTGTTTGTTGTCACTTTATAGGCCTTTTCAATATAGTTACAGATGTCTCTCTTACATCTGTCTCTCTTTAGACCTTAACAGTGCTGCAAATATGTTGCTCTTTACTGTGGAATTCTACAATTCAGTGAGATGGGGTTTTTTTTGTTGTTGTTTTATTTTGTATTTTTTTCCTTTCATACTTTTAGTGTTTGTTCTCCTAGCTCTGTAGTTCTGTAATCTCTTGTTACTATTAAAAACTTATTTAATATCACTCAGATTCATAAAGCTAATTAATGTTGGGGATGTGATAGTTTCCAGCAAGAGTTTTTGTTTTGTTTTGTTTTAATGAAGATTCATTAAGCTATGTGATTGTCTAGGTTAGGATGAAGTCATTTTGTTTTATTATCAAACTTGTACAAGGTAAGTTTCCTTATTAACAGGTAGCAAAGCCTTTCTTAAAGTGTCAAGAAGCCAGGCAGGATGGCACATACTTATAGTGCCAGCTACTCTGGAGGCTGAAGTAGGAGGATTTCTTGAGTCCAGGAGTTCTGAGCTGTAATATGCTGAGCCTATCTTGTACCTGTACTAAGTTTGACATCATATAGTGGCCTCCTGGAAGTAGAGGAGTACAAGGTTGCCTAAGGAAAGGTGAACAGGTCCTTAAAGTGTCAGAGGAAAAATTTTAGGGTCTGGTGCTAAGGTACTTCTGGTTGCCTTTAAGAAAGAAGACACTCCTTGACATCAGCACCAGTGTTTATCATCAGCATGTTTTCTTTGTATAACTACCAGATTATTCTGAGAAACTACCTATATACGTCTTGTTTATCAGCTTCAAACATTCTTAACTTCTCATTACCTTGCAAAAGTTCAAGTTGTTCACATTGGCATGAATCATTGTATAATATGACTCAAACCTATCTTTTAGTCTTGTATTCATCATTCTGTTATAAAGAACACTTCTAGCTAGTTTGGTCATGAGTCATCTGTAAATATGTGTTACTTCTTTTAATCTTTATAACTGTGTTCATAATATGCCCTCATTTAAAATTGAATGAATACTTAACTTGCATTTTTAAAACCAACTCATGCTTAGAGCCCAGGATTTTCTAGCTCAGCATAGTGCTGCTGATTAGTATATTCTATGAACTCAGTTCATTTAAAATATTTGTTTTAAAATTTTGTATATGTAATATCCTTAACTCTTAGTTCCCCTCCATTAGACCATATTGTTCTTTTATATATTCTGTTTTCTATGTAGCCCCAGCTGGCTTGGAACTCTATGTATAGACCAGATGGGTCTTGAACTCACAGAGATCAGCCCGCCTCTGCCTCTAAGTGCCACCATGCCCAGCTGTCTACCTTATTTATGTATTTTTTATGATTTTTTTTATGTTTGGTTTAATTTCTGTCTTGTTTTTGAGATAGGGTCTCAACTATGTATCCAAGGTTGATCTGTAAGCTGTGATCCTTCTGCCTTAGGCTTTCCAAATTCTGGAATTATACATTTCTGTCACTGTGTCTAGCTGATTTCTGATATTTTTTTTTTTTTTTTTTTTTTTTTGGTTTTTTCGAGACAGGGTTTCTCTGTGTAGCTTTGCGCCTTTCCTGGAGCTCACTTGGTAGCCCAGGCTGGCCTAGAACTCACAGAGATCCGCCTGCCTCTGCCTCCCGAGTGCTGGGATTAAAGGCGTGCGCCACCAATGCCTGGCTGATTTCTAATATTTTGATGAGGTCTATTCAAGCTATTTTAGTTGCTTATTTAAAGAGTACATTTAAGAAAGAATTAATCATGTAGCTCAGTTACAGGGTACATGCACAGAGCCCTGGGTTCAAATCATGTATCCCTGCCAAAAATGAGGACATTTTTAAAACGTAAATGTTAAAAATTGTACTTAGGGAATTGATAAAGAATAGATCTTAAATTTCATTTTTATGAAGTTAAATTATTTGTTGGTAGAATTGTGAACTCCAAAGATAGATAACCTTAAAACTCATTTTTACTATTACGTCATATTTTGTATTTGGCAAAGGTTATATTTATATACTTTGTGCTGTGAGGAGAATAATTTACATTATAGTGCATATTATTGTTTATTCCATACTAAGTGCTATATGAATATTCTTTTCATTTCTCAACATAGGATTGTTAGAAAATAAATATAGAGAAATCTCAGAAAATATATACAGAAAGTAGCAGTGCTGGAATTCTGATCCCATATGATGGTCTTCCAGACTGACATTCTTAAGTACTGATGTTTGAGATCATGTATTTGCATATTTAAAATGTAACTATAATAATTCTTTCATTTGCTCTTTTGATATATAAGTATGTTAATCTATTTATAATTGTCTTTCTTTTTAAAAGATTGCAGCATCCTATGGAAATGTTATCTCTGTTTTTGAACCAGTCAGCCTTCCGAAAAAAGGGAAAAATTTGGTCAGTAATTTATTATTTTTCTTTTAGGAATTGAAATATGTCTAGTATAAAGTCAAAGTGACCATTCAGTAATCTAGTATAAGTTATGGGCTATAATTAAAGATAAATGTTAAGTCCATTGTTCATATTAAAATATAATTAAATTTTTTTATTGGAATTGAATTATAGTAAATTGTGTCAACCAAATGTCTTAAAGTGCTTTGTTTTCCTTCTGACACTTTTATTTTGTAGTAGGCAAAGAATTGATAACTTAAAGTTTGGAAGTTACTTTATTCTATTACCAGACACTGTTGTTTAGCCATAAGTGGCACTTTATTCTTGGTTTGTAGAGCACACTTAAGCAGTTTCTGCCTTTTCATGTTTATAGTTCTTATAGATACATGATTTGCTTTCAGAATTAAGACATTTCTAGGACCTAATTTTTTGCTTTTATTATATCATGTAATATAGTTGCTCTCAGATCAGTAAATGTTGTTCTTTATAATGAAAATATATAAGAAATTAGAAAATTTGTTAACTAATAGTTAATAAATATAACAGATGAGTCACATTGTTTTGCATGTCTTTGTAGTCACCATAAATATTAAACCAGTGATTCCTAAACCACATGAAAGCATCAGCCTAATGAAGTGAAAGAATATGGTTAGAAGTTGTAGGATTGGTTTCTGTTTCTGTTGCTTTTACCTATGTGGTTTTAGTAGAGGCTGCTTATGTGGTTGTAGTAGAGGCTGCTTATGACCCTCTTTACTCAAGTTGTTAATAGGGTGATATATTAAAGATCAGAAATGTAGAGAATTAAATAGTGTTTTAATGGTAGGAATACCCTTATATAGCTTCTGATTTGGGGGCCATTTTTATTTGAATCAGTAATATCTTACAAATTACTCCCCCACCCCTACACACACACACACACACACACACACACACACACACACACTTTTCTCTTCTTTTTGAAACAGAATCTTGCCCAGTAGCCCAAGACAAGCCTGGAACTCACCATTAGTTCAGATAAACCTTGCACTCTCAATTGTCCTGTCTCAGCCTCCCAAGTGCCACTGTGCTGGACCCTCACCAGCATTCCGTTTCATAAAGAGTTTCCAAAATTCTCTGTGCTTTCTGTTAGTGTCTGTGGATTATTTAGTTAATCCAGTATTAGAGGGCCTTACCTCTCCATTAAGTGATTGGCAGTACTAAACTATTCTTTTAAAGTTTTTATTACATTTATTTAACTGGGGAGAGGTCACCTGTGGAGGCCAGAGGACAATTTGCAGGCATTCTCTCCTTCCACCCTGTGGGTGCAGGAGATCTATTGTATGTTGTCAGGCTTGGTGACAGTAGCCTTTACCCTTAGCCATCTTGCCAAACCTTAAAAATGTATTTTAAAGGTAGTTCCCTTCCAAAGAATTGTAGTAGTACTTTCTCCTTGGGATCGCCAACACCAAATAACGACATAGAGACTTATTGATTATGAAAGCTTGGCCTTTAGCTTAGGCTTATCTCCAACTAGCTCCTATATAACTCCATATTTTTAAATCTGTGTTCTGCCACGTGGCTCGATTACCTCTACTCTGTAACATATGTCCCATCTTGGTCTACATCTCACTGGCATCTCTATTTTTCTTCCCAGAGTCCTCTCTGCTCAGAAGTCTTACCTATTCTTGCCTGCCTAGCTATTGGCCATTCAGCTCTTTATTATACCAATCTCTCTCTCTCTCTCTCTCTCTCTCTCTCTCTCTCTCTCTCTCTCTCTCTCTCTCACACACACACACACACACACACACACACACACAAATCCTTAGAGACACATCTTTACAGTGTACACAAATGTTCTGCAACATTTCCCCCTTTTTATATAAATAAAAAAGAAAGTAAAACTATATACATTAAGAACAATTATCAGGTAAGAATTACATTCACAATGTCCAGTCCATTTGCATTTGGCAAATTCAGAGAAAAGACTCCATTATCTATCTTATCTTGGTGAGCCCAAAGTTTTTTACCTTATTTACTTTCTATCCTAACTTGTATTACCAACCCCAAACTATGTTTTTAGACCTCAAAACATTTTCTTAGAAAAACAATTAAAGCTTTTATGTCTCTCAACCTTAGGTACTTTATATCTCTTTTATAATTTTCTTTTCTAGATTTGTTAACAAGGAAAACTGTAAACTAGAACTATCTATTGTTCAACCCCATCATAGACCCAAGAGGGCTATAATATTACCTGATAAACAGGAAGTGCAGAGCAAGCAACTTCTAAAAACTATAAAATTGACAGAAACAGCTGGCTGCCTGGACAGTCACCCAAAGGTTCTTCTGCAGTGTTGGGGTTTTCATCTTCAGCATACAGACCTAGAATATCTGACAGACTTTGTTGTGAAGCGGGAATTTTGAAGAACTGTCCTACCTTGTCTTGGCAAAGTTTAGCAGTTACCTTCTTTTATGTCCTGCTTGTCCAATTTGGACAACATACTGTCAGTAGTCAAGGCAAGGGCAGTTTCTTGCTCAGTGGCTAACTTTGCCACAATGAAAGCAAACTCCATATGGAGGTTCTTCAATGCCTATCATCCTCTTTTGAGGTAATTGGTGCTGCCAGGAGCAGACGTGTCTCATGACATGACTGTTATGAAAAGCCTTATTAAAACATCTTAAATGCCATATTCTGTAGGTCTCTGAAGTGTTTGGAGACCATCTGTCTATCTAAATTATGTGTTTGATCTTGAAAACATACCTAACATGGCTACAAATTTGATTGTTATAGATGACTAACTTATGACCTGCATTTCTTAATTATCTTAAACAATTTGTAATAATGGCCCATTACATTTTAAAGTAAACTGCATAAGCAAGAATAGAAACATATATACAGTATGTTAAAACAAAAATAACTTTAAGTTTGTTTCAGTGTGGCCTTTAAGAACTAGAATTTTACATTATATTTTAAAGTAAATTGCATAAGCAAGAATAGAAACATGTATACAGTATGTTAAAACAAAAATAACCTTAAATTTGTTTCAGTATACAAAAATACCATAAACAAGAGTGGAAACATATATAGAGTAAAACAAAAATAACCTTAATTTTTGTCAGTATATAAAAACTCATACCAGTGTAAAATATTTAGACCAGTAGTCGCTTTTTTAATTTAAAAGTAGATTCAATAATCTACCCTTTTATCCTACCATTCCTATATCTGCCCCTTTTTTTCAGAATGAGATCCCTGAATCTAATCTCCTTTGTTTAGTTTCCTCACTTACTATGACCAATGACAGCTTGCAATGAATCCTCTCTAAACGATGATCCATGGATCAACCAAAAACACCCACCCTACTACCTCTTGGGAATGTGGGTGTAATGTTCTTATAATTACTTTCTGTTGTGTGTGGGGTGACAGCATCTTTAGGGGATCCTGAGAAAATTGAGATATTGGTCAAGTCCTGGGAGAGCTAGTTCTTCTCTAGTCTCCATGATAGGAAAGTACAGAGCCTATCAGAAGGCCTGGCTAGAGTAGGTTGTGAGGCTGGACAATCTCAACTAGCAGCTTTGAAGTTGTTGTAGATACAGAATTTTGATAAAACTGTAAAGAGACATTCTGAGAGGCTGGATCACTTAGGCTACTTGTCTTTATTGGTGTCTGGTCCTTTTTTTTTTTTTTGTCTTTGTTTTGTTTTGAAAAACACACAAAGTTTTAAAGGTAACATATTTACATGTACTAACACAAGTATGGAATGTGCAGTGTGCACAAGTCAGCTAAAGATGATCTATTGAGGGCTCTGATGTTCACTGTGATTAAGAGCTATTCTGGCAGTGCCCTTATTTCCTAAAAGGGTATACTGTACTCCATCTGTGGTGTCAAAATCACCTGAGGTATTCGTTTAAAGTCCATATTCCTGTGCTTCAAAGTTTACTTTTTGAACCTGAGTTTTGGGGCATGGATTTGGAAACTTGAACTTTTAATAAATAGCATAGGCTATTTTTTGTTGTATGGAAGTTTGAGGACCATTGCAGTAAGACAGTATTTATGGGTTAATTTAATAGGCCATAGTTTGAACTTAAAATGAACCAACAATAGGAAATGTTGGGTTGTATACTAGTGGTAAGGATACCCCAGTTTTAATTTGTATATATAATGCCATGTGTATTTTTTTGTACTGATTTGTAGGTTTAAATAAAAGATATTTGAAAGAGTGGGAAAGTATTATATTAAGGAAGTAATGTATCTCAGATAGGGATGAAACATTAAGAGAAGAATATTTAAATTATTGGACCTATGGACACACATTTAAAATTACACTTTGGACTTTATTATAATAAAATACAAATATTGAAAGAAATGTTTGATGTGAGGTTAGGTAAGATAAATGTTTATTGGTTTTTTTATACTAAGGATAGACTTTCAGATCCTAGCATTGGGTTGTCTTTCAAGAGTCTTCTTATCTAATTCAGTGATTCTCAGTCTTCCTAATGCTGTGGCCTTTTAATACAGTTCCTCATGTTGTGGTGACCATCCCCAACCATAAAATTATTTTGTTGCTACTTTATAACTGTAATTTTGCAACTGTTATTAATCACAATGTAAATATGCAGGATATCTGATATGTGACCCCCAACCAGGTCTCAACCCACAGGTTTGGAATCACTGATGTAATTCCTATTTCTCTTGACAGAATTGTTTTCTTCTCCTAAAAAAAGGGCTGCATAAATTTGAGCACAACAAATGTGAACATGTTCATTTGATATAAAAGATGCTAATCACAATTAGCTAACTGACTTTTTTCTCATTTTAGGAACTTTATAGTCAGTGGCAAAAAAGTGGCCAATTTTTTCTGGACTCAATAGCACATAATATAACTTGGGATCCCACAGGTAAGGAATATAACAAGATTATCAGGATCAAATGTCACTGAACTAATTTGTCTTTATTACTCTTTCATCTGTCAAATGTAGCTTGAGTTTTTCTCTCAGGGTCCTGCCAAGTCTCAGCAGTCCCATAGCCCACTTATAAAATAAACATACAGACGCTTATATTATTTAAACTGTTTGGCCTAATGGCTCAGGCTTCTAGCTATCTAGTTCTTACATCTTAAATTAACCCATTTCTGTAAATCTATACCTTGCCACATGCTTTGAGGCTTACCAGTACCTTATATGTTGGTACTCATGGCGGCGGCTGGCAGCGTCTCCTGACTCAGCCTTTCTGTTCCCAGAATTCTCTTCTCTGCTTGTCCTGCCTATACTTCCTGCCTGGCTATTGGCCAGTCAGCATTTTATTTATTAACCAATCAGAGCAACACATTTAACATACAGAACATCCCACAGCAGTCAAACTGTGGTAAATATAAAAGTAAATAAAGCAAATTGTGCCCTTTTATAATTTGTACTGAAATGAAGGCAAATACAAGCAATATTAAATGATAGGACATGATAAATATTATACAGAATAACTGTTACTTTTGGAAAAAGAAATAATTCTCTCTGGAAAAGAAGATTTTCTTGACAAGGCTTCTTTTGATCTGACTTTTTGAAAGATTTTAACAATTAGATAAAATAGGAAAAAGATGTTACTTCTAAGTAATATGTGTATTTGCATTAAAAAGTACATAACTTGGGGCTGGAGAGATGGCTAACAGTGAAGAGCACTGGTTCTTTCAGAGGAACCTAGTTCTATTCCCAGCAACCACATGGTGGCTCATAACTCTAAGTCCAGTCCTAAAGGATGTGGTACACAGACATACATGCAGACAAAAACACACATACAAAATAAAAATAAATATTTCATAGATTAAAGCAACAATCATTTTCCTGCTTTTGTTCTATGGGTTGGAATTGCTACAGAGTTTTGTGGGAATGCCTTGTCTCTTATCTGTGTATTACCTGAAGTACCTTTCTGGTAAAGGGTCAAAGAAAGACTTTGTTCACATGTATGGACCTTTAGCTAGTTCTCTAGTGGGATACCGTTGTTCTCTATGTGGCCTGTCTCTCATGCGGCCTCTACAGCAGGGTAGTATAAATTTTACATGGTGGTTAAATTTTGAGATTGCAAGTTTAAGTGGCAAATACTCTTAAAGCCTGGCCTTCCTTATCCAGAGGATTTTCGTGTTTCATTCTCTGTTCAGAACAAAATGGGAGTCTAGGTATTCAAGTAATAAGAGAAACCAATTCCATTCTTGTTGGAGATGTGGGAAAGTCATATTGCATGAGGGCCTAGCTACAGACTTTGTACAAGTTACAGTTAATCCTTATAATACTAGAAAGCTCTGAATTTATGGATAAGAAAACTGAAGTTCAAAGATTGCCTAACTAGATCCAATTTGCTTGGCCAATTAAATGATGTAGATACATGGATTTATAAATTTCTGACCTAAAGTTCTGCTTTTGCTGGATTAACTTTTCTTTGTTTCCTTTCTTTTTCCTTGTCCCCCCCTCCTTCACTCCCTCCTCCTTTCCTTCCTTTCTCATTGCATTTTATTAGCATTTCTTACAGAATCCTGAGTGAGAGATTATTTCCAAGAGTATGGGCTCCCTACCAATGGCTGTAACACAAAATGTTTTTTCTCTCTCAGGACTGATAACCTGTAGATAATCAGAGAGGGATGGGCACTCACTGGTCCCTCCCCCCACTTACCATTATCTGTTAATAATCCCCAAGGGAAGGACAGGGATTCATAGGATCGTTTCCTTCCATAGCAAGATGCTAACAGGTCTAGTTTTTTTTTTTTTAATTTATTCTTTTGTTTTAGTATATATATCTATATCTCTATATATCTATATCTATCTATATATATATATCTTCATTAAAACTACAGTACTTATTTATTATGTGTATATATGTATGGGTATGCCCATGCTATGGTTCATATTTGGGGGTCAGAGGACAATTTGCAGGAGTTGGTTCTATCTTCCATCATGAGGGTTCATTAGGCTCAGAAGTAAATGCTATCCTCTTGAGCCATCTAGCCAACCTGAAATTATTCTTTTGCAGTTTCTGTTTAGAAACTGTGTTATATTCTATAGTCTTACAAGATTCTTGAGTATGTATCTTAACTCAGTGTTAACTGTCTACATAATAAATGGTAAATAGTATATTTGTATATTTCTTTAGGTAATCGTCTTTTAACTGGTTCCAACTGTCTTCAGCTCTGGTGTAATACTAACTCAAGGAAGCAAACTGAAGATGAAAATCCTAGAACAAGTCTTAATTTTGGAGATTGGGTGTGCATTTGGCATTGCAAGTAAGCAACTGACTAGAGAGTAAACCTGTCCTGCATTTTTTATTTTATAAGTTGGTTCTATATATGATTTTTAGTTTGTTCAGTGTGAACAGACATTTGAGTCTAGGGTTAGACTAAATTAAACGTAGGTTGGCAGTGAGATGGCTCATCCCATAGATGCTTGCTACAAAGCCCGACAAACTAAGTTCAGAACCTATGTGGTGGAAGGAGAGGACTGATTCCTCCAAGTTGTCTTATAACTTCCACACACTTATTAGTCATTTATGTTATGTTGCTGTTGGACAAATAAAAATGGTGTTTAAAAGTAAGTAAATGCATTTTCTAAATATGACACCAAAGCTAGAAATTGAAAGAGAAGGAAAAATTAGTAGGTTTGACTATACAAATAAAATATTTCCCTAAGGAAATAAAAATTTTAGGAGAAATAAGTGCAGTTTTGGGGTTAATGCTTTCTTTTAAAAATAAGATTGGTTAGAAAAGAATGGATCAGCCGGGCGGTGGTGGCACACGCCTTTAATCCTAGCACTTGGGAGGCAGAGCCAGGAGGATCTCTGTGAGTTCGAGGCCAGCCTGGACCCAGGAAGTGAGTCCCAGGAAAGGCGCAAAGCTACACAGAGAAACCCTGTCTTGAAGAAAAAAAAAAAAGAAAAAAAGAAAAGAATGGATCAAATGTTAGTTTATAACAGTGGGTTATGAAGATGTGAAGAGAGAATTTTCAAAGTTTCAGTATGTATAACTAGCAAACATTTTAAGAGTTGATTGACTTATTTCTAAATAAAAAAGGTACAATGTCCAGAAAGAAGAGGATGAATAATATCTATTAATAGTGAGTGTTCAAAGTAAAAGGTGTATTATGAACTATTGATAAGAACAGTAAATTAATATTTTCTTTCTAGAAATTTATAAGTATGACTCAGTAGGCTTATTTTTTTTCATATATTTTGGTTAGCATTTTCAGATTTCCATCATTTAACAGATATTTTTTGGTTGCCTAATATGTTCCAAAAATCTGTAAAATTGCTTAAATGTTACATTGAACAGTTAGGGGAAGATCAGTGTTACACAGGTAAACTGGAATAACAGGATGGAATTCTTACTCCATTTTATATGAAGTAGTAATAGAATGTTATCAGGCACCAAAGGACAGCAGGGCAGATCTATATACTAAATTTGTAGAAGAGGTGTCATAGGAGTAAACCTGTTACTATGTGGAGGGAGAATAGAATTTTGCATAAATAATGTTTTAGAGAGCTAGGCTTTACTTTTGTTACCCTTCTGTCTCATTTTTGTAGATCAAGATATGAACTTTCAGCTGTCCTACCATCATGTCTTTGTTTTGCCATTTGCTTTAACTTACTAAAGGGGGAGGGACTTATCTCTTCCTATAAGTATTTTGAAAGGTTTCCATGAAATAAACAGAGAACATAAAATGTGCTTTGTGTATTTGTGAGAAGGGAGGAAAGACTGTTTAAGTTCAGAGAATGCAACAGTAACTTAGAATAGGCACAACAATTGATTTGAGACTGTTTCTTATTAAGCAAGTAGAAAAGATCAAAGACTATATGTTGTGATTTAGGATCAGCTTAAGATGACTAGCATACATCTCAAAGTTCAGTTTTGATCACATTCCTTACTGGTGATGTGCTTGAAACACTGATGACATGTTTGAGTTAAGAACTTTGAAGACAAAAAGTAAGCAAGGTAAGTGAAAGAGAACCGGAGGTCACATTGGAGGACCAAACTGAAAGAAATAGATGTCATCAAAGTTCTGTATGTATGAGTGTTTAACTGGTGGCTAGGGTGACATGAGCAAGACACAGAATGATAGAGGAGAACTGTTTATACATCATTGTGAGGACATTTGGGGAGGAGGGAAATCTCTTGCTATGTTGCTCAGGCTGGTCTTACACACTAAAGTGATCCTCCTGCCTCAGTCTTCTCAGTAGCTGGGACTATTGGCATTACTACTGGCTTATTTACTTTCCTGTTGCTGTGACAAAACACCACGGCCAAGGCAACTTGTAAAATAAAGTGTTTAGTTGGGCTTGCTTATAGTGTAAGAAGGTTAGAGTCCATGACGGTGGAACACAGGAATGGTGGCAGGAACAGCTGAGAGCTTGTAATTGGAAGTTTTCCTGTGTACCACCCGGTCCCTCAGCTGCTTGGTCCCAAGTAAACGCACAGAGGCTTATACTAATTACAAACTGTATGGCCTATGGCTCAGGCTTCTTGCTAGCTAGCTCTTTCATCTTAAATTAACCCAATTCTATTAATCTATATATTGCCATATGGCGGTAGCATTACTGGTTTGCTGGCATCTTGTTCCTCCTTGGGCAGCAGGCTGGTGTCCCTCTTGACTCCACCCTTCTTTCTCTGTCTTCAGTTTGAATGTACTGCCTAACCTTACTCTGCCTCACCATTGGCAAAACAGCTATATTTATCAGCCAATGAGAGCAACACATATTTACAGTGTACAGAAAGACATCCCACAGCACTTCCCCTTTTCTGTCTAATCAAAAATGAAGGTTTTAACTTTAACATAGTAAAATTAAATATAACAAAACAGTTTTCAAGCAAGAATTAGTTATGATATCTAGTCTGTTTGTATTTGGTAAAATTAAAGAAAATATTCTATATTTGTGAGTCTAAAGTTTTATATTTAATTCCCCTTTTATCATAACTAAGGAAAACTATAATTAAACTTTCTAGTCTTCAACTCCATCAAAGACCCTAGAAGGATATATTGCCTAAGTAAATAGGAAGTGCATTGTAAGCAACTTCCAAAATTCTAGAAATGACAGAGACATCTGGCTACCTGGACAGTCATCCAAAGTTCCTCTACAACATTGGGGCATCCATCTTCAGCCTAAAGGCCTAGAGTCTCTGGCAAACTTTTTAGTGAAGCATGAAATTTGGAAGATTGTCTTGCCTATTGGCAGAGTTCATCAGTCACTTTCCTTTGTGTCCTGCAGAATGTCTGGCAGTTTTTCTGTGAAGCAGGAACCTGAAGGACCCTCTTGCTTTGAATTGGCAAAGTTCAGTGGTCACTTTCTTATGGGTACATGTACAGTTTATATAGCATATTTTCAAGCAGTCCAGGCAAAAGCAGTTTCTTGCCCAAATGGCTAACTTTTGCCATAAAGAAAGCAAACTACATATGGAGTTTCTTTGATGCCCATCATCTTATCTGAAGTAACTGGTACTGCCAGGAGCAGATGTGTCTCACTGTCCAGAAAAGTATTAAGTTTTTAAAACATTTTAAATGCCATATTCTGTAAGTCTTTTCAAACACTTCAGTGTTTGAAGACTACCTACCTAATTGAAATATATCTTTGTATACCTAAAAAATTTAACTAACTTGGCTATATATATGATTATCATAAATGATTATTAAGCTGTAGTTCTTAATTATATATTACAATTTTAAATGAATTGCATAAACATAATACCTTAAACAAGAGAAGAAATATACATACAGTATAACAAAATTAACTTTAAATTTGTATCAATAAATAAAATCCATAGCAGTGTAAAATATTTCAGACAAGTTGTTGCTTTTTAAAAGTAGATTTAATAATCTGCCCTTTTATCCTATCATAGCTATATCCCCTTTTCTGCTTTAGAAAAAGATTGCATTTATAATCCACCCACTTTAAATAAAATAAACATTTATAAACAGTATTTTGGGAACTTGGGTGTAGCTTTTCTTACTATTTCCTGCTGATTGGGAGTCCTGGCAATCTTATGGGAATCCTGAGAAAATTTGAGATAATAGTCAAGCCCTGGGAAGACCAGCTATATAACCTTTGTTGATAGATACCATCTGTCAAGGTTCAGGAGGTCTGGCTTGATCAAATCTGATCCATCTTAACCTGGAACAAATCCACAGCCTCTTGCTTCCTGTGCAAACAAAAGCAGAGCCTCTTTTCCAAAGCAACATATCCTTAGATCCAAATTGTGAAGTCAAGATACCTTTAAAATATATGTATTGGTTTAACTTTGCAGCTTTTACAATCAAATGTCTTTCTGCAGTTAGCTCATTAACAATCAAAAAATTTAAAGAAAACACAATATGCATAATTCAGACTCTTTGTGTATTTTCCATCTTTATGTGGCTTATTTCTTTTATGTTATTTTTACTGTCTCTTTAAAGACTTCATTTTTTAAAACTATTTATTTCTTTTTATAACTGCCTATACTCATTTTCCTCTCTTTTCCAAGCCTACATACATTTTACACACACTATAAGTCGTTTTGAGGTTTATTTTATCTGAATCTGTCTTATTGTGTATCTATAATCTTTTTCTGTCCAGGAAAGATTTTAAACTCCTAAGCTGTGCAGCGGCTTTGGCTGTTGACTCTGCCCCTTTCGGTTTCCCAACATAGCAGAGGTATGTTTACCGCTAGCTCTGGGAGCCATACTCACCGCCAACTCTGGAAAGCAGTGGGTCTGTGCCTCCATCGAGCAGCATGTAGTCCAGAAACCTTTTTATTTTTATTATTATTATTATTATTATTATTATTATTATTATTATTATTATTTGTCTATACTACCAAAAGCTAAATCCACCACACAGTGCACTGTTCAGTTTGGAGACACCTCTGTGTACTGTGGCAGAGAATCCACCATGCTGTGCTCAAGCTTAAATGCTATAGTGTCTCTGTCCTGTGGCCCCCATGAGTGACACGAACTAGGAAGCTGCTCTTGGCTCCATTTTAGAATCTTTTTTTAAAGCTTTCACCGGTTTTAGGTGGAAATCCTTGCCCCACATTGGAACACCAGATGTAGCTAGAAGTTTTCCTGTGTCCCACTCGGTCCTACAGCCACTTGGTCCCAAGTAAACACAAATTACAAACTATATGGCCTATGACTGAGGTTTCTTGCTAGCTAGCTCTTTCATCTTAAATTAACCCATTTCTATTAATCTATATATTGCTATATGGCGGTGGAACTACTGGTCTGCTGGCATCTTGTTGCTCCTTGAGTGGCAGGCTAGTGTCTCTCTTGACTTCACCCTTCTTCCTCTCTGTCTTCAGTTTGAATGTATTGCCTAACCTTATTCTGCCTCACCATTGACAAAACAGCTATATTTATCAGCCAGTGAGAGCAACACACATTCACAGTGTACAGAAAGACATCCCACAGCAGTGTTCACGTCTTGATTTGCAAAAGGAGGCAGAAAGCACACACCAGCAATGGTGCAAGTCTTTTGAAACCTCAAAATCTGAACCCAATGACACATCTCCAACAAGATCACACCTCCTAATCCTTCACAATCAGTTCAGGGGATAACCAAGTATTCAGACTATGACCCATGGGGACATTGTCATTGAAACTGCTATAGCCACCATATCCAGATGCCTTTGTCTTTTTGTTTACTGTGAAGGAATCTAGAAGTTTCTGAGGGATTAAGTAGGAATACTAAGATTTGTTTTGCTTTTAGAAAGGCTGCTATAGTTGTTGTTTTAAGAAAAGACAAGGGTCTTGCTATGCTGGCCCTGAACTCAAAATCCTATGCCCCAGTCTCTTGAGTGCTGGGATTACAAGCCAGCTGTCCTTGGCACATTTTTCACAATTTGGTGTAAGAATATCTCAAAGATTAACCAGGTGAGTGATGAGTGTACAGGCTGGGGAGATGGCTAAGTTGTGTAAATGTTTACTATACATGCATGAGGACCTGAGTTTGGATGTTCTGCATCCATGTAAAAGACAAACATAATAGCACACATGTATAATCTCAGTGTGAGAGGTAGGAGGCCAGCAACAGGAGGATCCAAGGGCTTGTTAACTAGCCAGCCATTCTAGCTGAAAGACAAGCTCTGGGTTCAGTGAGAGATACTGTCTCAAAAAATAAGGTGATAAGAGATAGAGTAAAATATCTGTGTTGGCCAGGTTTTCGTCAACTTGACACAAGCTAGTCATCTGAGAAAAGAGAACTTCAATTGAGTAAATGCCCCCATCAGAATGCCCTTTAGGCAAGCGTGTGGGGGGATTTTCCTGGTTGATATTTGTTGTGAGTAGGCCCTGTCCACTGTAGGTGGTGCTGTTACTGGGCAGGACCTTAGAGTGTATAAGAAAGCAAATGAAGAAAGCCAAGAGGAGCAAGCTAGCAAGCAGCATTCCTCCATGGCCTCTGCTTTAGTTCCTGTCTGCAGATTCCTGCCTTGTATTTCTCTCCTGACTTCCCTTTATGATGGGCAGTAAGCTTTAAGATGAAACAAACTCATTTCTTAAGTTGCTTTTGGTAATGATGTGAGAGTGAATGTTTGCTTGCTTTTACACACACACATACACGCGCGCGCGCGCACACACACACACACACATACACACAAGTACACACATAATTTCTTAGGAAATTGTTTTTCATTTGTTTGTTTTTTATTGTTATTCTTCTCTTATACATTATATTCTGACCTCAGTTTCCTCTCCCTCCACTCCTCTCAGTCCCTCTCTAATCTCTCCTCTCCCTCAGACTTAGATCAACTCTTCCTCTCTTTTCCGAAAAAAAAGAAATGATCAGCCCTCCTAGGGATATTCTCTGAACTTGGCCTAACAAGATACAATAAGACTGGGCACAAGCCTTCATACCGTAGCTGAACTTGGCAATCCTCCCAAATGGAGGCAAGAGAATCAGACTTACCACACTCACGTTGTTGGGAGTCCCACAAGAACACCAAGCTATACAACTGTAAGGTATATGCAAAGGACCTAGCTTAGACCCATACAGGGTCCATGGTTGTTGCTTCAGTTTCTGTGAGTCTCTATGAGCCTTGCTTAGTTGATTCTGTGGGCCATGTTCTCATGGTGTCCCTTAACCCCTCTGGCTTCTACAGTCCTTCCTCTCCCTCTTCTTGGAGCAGGGGTGGGTCCCTGGCTCCTCGTAGTATTTGGCAGTGGGTCTCTGTATCTACTCCCTTTGGTTGCTGGATGACACTCCTCTGATGACAGTTGGCTATGCACTGATTTATGAGTATAACAGAAGATTATTAGGAATCCTTTCTTTCTCTCTTTTTTTTTTTGCTAGCCATGTTTAGTTTTACCCAGTGTTTCTGGGCTGTCCTGCCTCTGGTTCCTGGCCATCCAGGCAGTGTCGGGCATGGGCTTCCTCTTGTGGCATAGGTCTGAAGTTGAACCAGTCATGGGTTGCCACTTGTACAAGCTTTATGCCATCATTGCCCCAGCATGTCTTGCAGGCTGAACAAATTGTAGGTCAAAGGTTTTGTGGTTTGGTTGATGTCCCCGTCCCAGTGCAGGGAGCCTAGGTTGGTTATAGAAGGTGGCCAGTTTGAGCTCTGTATTCCCCATTATTAGGAGACTTTGCTAGAGTCACTCCTTCTAGATTCCAGGGAGTTTCCACTGCTCTAGGTTTGGTTTTTGAGACAGCCTCACCATATATCCGTTGCTTGCCTAAAGTAGTCGTGATGTAGGCCACATTGGCCTGAAACTTGCAATATTCTTAAGTTTTTCTCTGAATGCTGGAATTACCTACATTTGCATGACTTAGAAATATGTATTTTATATTTAAGTTTCTATCTTAGTAACTTGTTCTTTTTTGGAATATGCTTAAAAGTTAGGGGTCTGGAGAAGGTCTCTAGTGAAGCATGTACTTAGCATGTGCAGACCCTTGAGTTCAATCTCTGACAACAAAAAAAGTGGGAAAAAAAACAAACACAAAACTAACAAAAATGTAGATGTAACGTCTTATTAAATAAGAAACACAGAGCCAAATGCAGAGTTAAAAGCCTAAGAAGTCAGAGCAGTAGCTAAGAGCTGAGACTTAAAACCGCCTTCTTACCCTTTGCTGCTGCTGTCGTCCTTCCCCTGAGAAAGAGAGCTACTTCCTGTGTATCTGTCATTTTATTGACTTTCTGTTCTGCCTTCTCATTGGTTGTAAACCCAACCACATAACCTCCTTGTCAATGCCTGTCTATACAGACCTCAAGGCCTTCTGTGGTTGGTATTGAGATTAAAGGTGTGTGTCTCCATGCTGGCTATGTCCTTGACCACACAGAGACTCTGCCTGCCATGTGATCAGATTAAGGGCGTGTGCTACCACTGCCAGACTTCTGCTGTGGCTTGCTATTAGCTCTGACCCCCAGGTAACTTTATTTATTAATATACAAATAAAATCACATTTCAGCACAAATAAAACATCACCGTATGAAAATTTCTCAACAACAGCAGCAACAAAATACTTGAGTCAGCCTTTAGAGTCAGGCATGGTAGTCTGTAGTTCTAGCTATGTGTTATAGAGGCAGGGGGCTGCTTAGCCTGGTATTAAGACCTAACCTGATCCACATTGCAAGACCTCATCTTATAAGGGGGGAAAAAGTGAGTGTGAAACTCTTACCAAAAAAAAAAAATTCTGTAAGAATAAGAAATTGCTGGAGTTTAATTTGAATATTGCTAATTATTTTGAACCTAGTTTTCTTGCTGATTAGCTCTTCTGTGTTTAATTTACAGAACTGCTTCCCAAGTCCATTTAATGAAATTTTCTCCAGATGGAGAATTTTTTGCCACTGCTGGAAAGGTAAATTTTGAAAATACTGTTGTAGAATTGTGTGTCTGTACTACATTATATTTTAAGACTATGTGTACGTGCACCTTGGTATGCACATATGTATGTGGTATGTGTGCAGGCTTGTACACAAAGAATAAAGGCCAGAAATCAAGTAGTGTCTTTATGATGAGTATCCACTGTATTTTCTATTGAGCCTGAATCTCAGTGTGGGCTAGATTGGATTGGCTGGCCAGAAAGCTCCAGGGTCTCCTGTCCCTGCCTTCTCAATGGGGATTATAGCACTGTGGCACCTGACTTTTCTATATGGGTTCTGGAGAGTCAAATTCAGATCCTCCTGCTTATGGAGCACACACTCTAACTGTTGAGCTATCTCCAGCCTCCTATACTTTTATTTTTGAACTTATAAATATTAACTGACTTATTCTTTTTAGTATTGCTTGATTTTTGGCTTAAGGAAAAGAAGCCCTTAATTTTATTTTTCCTGAATAATATATGAGGTTATATGGTCATTGTATACTTTTTTTTCTCCTTAGGATGACTGTCTTCTAAAAGTATGGTATAATGTAGAAAACTGGCGACCAGCTGTTACCTCCCCAGATAAAGATTCAGAAAAACAATCCCAAGGAGAAATCGACTTTTCTTTTGTGTATCTGGCCCATCCACGAGCTGTAAATGGATTTTCCTGGCGGAAAACAAGCAAATATATGCCAAGGTCAGTTGATTGGTTGTGATTTCACTGTGTGTTAAGGGAGCATTACCTATTTGACTGGTTTTCTTACTTGGAGCCTTTGAAAATTAGGGTAATAGTCAATTGTTCCAGGCTGCACATGTCTGGTCAAGTATGATTAATGCTCAGTATAAGAACCTCAAAGGGAATTTAAGACCAAGATAATTTATTTCTCTATCAGATGTCTTTGTCAAAGAATTCTACGTTTTTGTTTTCTTTCTTTCTTTCTTTCTTTCTTTCTTTCTTTCTTTCTTTCTTTCTTTCTTTCTTTCTTTCTTTCCTTCCTTCCTTCCTTCCTTCCTTCCTTCCTTCCTTCCTTCCTTCCTTCCTTCCTTCCTTCCTTATTTTTATTTTTATTTTTATTTTTATTTTTTTTATGGTTTTTTTTGGAGACAGGGTTTCTCTGTGTAGTTTTGGTGCCTGTCCTAGATCTCGCTCTGCAGACCAGGCTGGCCTCGAATTCACAGAGATCCACCTGGCTCTGCCTCCCAAGTGCTGGGATTAAAGGCATGTACCACCACCGCCTGGCTGTTTATATTTTCTCTTCTATTCTATTTCCTCATATAGATTGCTGTTTGTGTGGACTGTTTGACAGTTATTTTCTTCATTTTGTACTTTCTGTTGTAGCTTCTGGCATCCTTTTTTAAAACAAACAAACAAACAAATAAAATACCCTTTATTGAAAGGACATCTTTGAGGAAAATAGAGTTAATTCTTTATATTATCATGCTCTGAGTTAGTTTAACCCATAGAAGCTCAGAAATATGTGCCTGTTAGTACTGTTCTTTTCTGTGGTCCTTGAAAAACTTACTATCACATAGAATGTATATATGTTCTTATGGTAAGTTACATAGATCTAGTAAGTCCATCTAAAAATCCATCTTGTACTACAGGGCAATGCTAATTTGGTTATCTGTCTCTTACCTTTGTAGTGCTGTTGCTGTTTAGCTGGAGATGTTCAAGTAGAATTGTAGTAATGTACCTAAGTCATTTGTTGACTGTATTTTGCTTGTGAACCAACAGGATATACCTAGATTTTTGAGCTCCGGTGTAGTAGTTACTGACCTTCTTCTAGCCCTCTAGTCAAATTGAGGAATAGAAGAGAAACTCTAGGAAAAGAATGGTTCTGTTCTTAATTTGTGTCAGAGCCTTCAAGCTAAGAGAGAATGGTTTGGGTAATCAGTATTGTCAGCTGAAGGAACCTCACCTCAGGTTCACTTATGTTCTAGTCCTCTGTTGCCTACACACATAAAAATGTGTTTTGAATAAAATGATTTTATTGTGTATGTTAACTCTTACTTTGAAAGTTGTGAATGACTCCAGCTTGGTCATCACAAATTTGTCTTTTAAACTTATCTGAAGAGTACTGTTTTATAGAAACTAATTTATTCTGATGAATAAGTGAAAATTTTCATTTATTGATGCTACAACCATCAAAATACTAAACAGGCTTATGAAATACTGAATTTTTTTTGAGGACTGACTTAGCTTGCTTAAGTTTTGACATAACTCATCACAGTGAAGGCTGAAGCAGATGCCTAAAACTGAGACATTTAGGGGCATGTACAATGTGCCTTTGGGCCATTTTATTATGTTATTGTCTCTCTCTTTCCCTTTTTAATGTGACAAAGTTGAATTCAGAGAGACTGGATTGAGAAGGAACAGTAGACATGTTAGTGTGGTAGGTATATACTTCACTATTTAAAAAGTGATGAATACAGGACAGGTTGGGAGATTTGGTGATACCCTGCTGAATCTCCAAAAGTTGGCTGAAGATAACCAGTTGCAAAACCATCTTAGCTTGTTGTTTTATCAGTATAGGGCAGATATTGGGGACAAGGATTGCTTTCTGTGAGGTTAAACCTATTGTTTGTTGCTGGTTGTATGTGCTGTGTGGGCTTTGTATCTATATGATAGACCAGTGGTTCTCAGCCTGTAGGTCAGGGTTGAATGATTCTTTCATAGAGGTCACCTAAGAACATAGGAAAACACAGATATTTACATTATGATTTATAACAGTAGCAAAATTACAATTATAAAGTAGCAACAAAAATAATTTTATGATCAAGGGTCACCACAAGTTGAGGAACTGTATTAAAGGGTCGAAGCATTAGGAAGATTGAGAACCACTGTCATAGACATCGAGGATATAATAAATGTAAAAGAAGTGAGGAAGGGGAGCTGCAGTCTATTAGCATGAGGTACTGAGAGGACAGTGCAACTAAGAAGGGATCAAGGGACACACTGCCAAAGACACCATCATCTCTCTGCCCTTTGCATAGGACCTGCCAGTTGTTCAGATTGACTAGACAGCTGCAGGAGTCAGTTAAGCTATACACACATCGAGATCAGTGCTCTCTCCTGCTTTTGATTTGGGACCTTGCTGGCTTGTTTCGTTTCTCTTAAGTTCTTTGACTTCATCTGATTGCCATCTATTATACCCTTAAATTACTACCTTCTACTTTTCCTTTACAAGTGTTCCTACTCTGCTTGTTACTCATTGACAGTATGAACCTTGAACCTTTGGTATTGTCTTTTGAACCTTTGACTTTTGTTGTTGTCTTTTGATTTACTTTCCTCTTGATATATTTGCTTATTTTTAATTTCATTGCTATGGTCTGTATTTATGAGTACATAAGATAGAGGAAATAAGTATAGGCAAGGGATAGAAGAAAGGAAGGGGAAATGGAAAGGGATGGATGAATGTTAGGGTGATATGAGGAGTAAGAAGCAAGAGGTTCAAGAAGAAATCAAAAGAGTGAGGTGAGGGACAGACAGGGCAGATGAAAAGAAAACATGGCCTAGAGAAGCTGAGACTGATGTCAGAGGACAGAGAAAGGGGAGAATGGAGAAGTCATGGAAAAGAGGAATGCAAAGGAGTAGACAGATAAAGGTGGGTGAGGGTCAGACAGGGAAAGAGGTGAGAAAATGGATTAGGGAAGTTGATGTTGACAGAATAATCAAGACAAACGGGTTTTGCTGCATTTTTCTTTTTTGCGTCTTGTTCTTTTTAATCATGCAGAGATGGATGTCAAGGTGATTACTGTAGAATAATTTTATTCCTCTTAGCTTTTTTCCCTTCTGTTCTTGGCTTTACTGCCCTCCCTTGCTCCCTTTCATTTTGCTAAATTATCTGGTAATAGATTTCTTTGTTGGTAATGGCTGTATATACTTTTATTTTGAGGATGTCATAAAAAGAAATAACCAAAAGTTCAGAATTACTAAGGATGGATTTAGTTTGTGAAGGTCTATCTATTGGAGAAATTATTTTGGCCACTCCACGTAGTTAAAAGGATATTTATTTAATGGCGTAACTCACAAATTAAGTAATAGGTAGGTCGCAGGGTCTGGGGAAGGTGTATCGCAGTCCAGTGGTTTTCTCTGGAGCTCTGCTCAGTCAACCTCCACCGTCCAGCGTCCCGGCACAGAGAGAGCACACAGAGAGAGCGCTGGCCCATCCAGCTCTCGGGTCTCCCGGCGCCTCCCCTGCCCCCGCCTCGTAGGCGTGACAGTTGCCAGAGTCTCAATGGGTGTTGGAACTTCCAGATCCAAGCTGGAATGGCTACCCACTACATCTCCCCCTTTTTGTCTAAATAAGAAGGTTCTAAACTAATACAAGACTATATACAAAGGAATGGTTATCAAATATTGTCCAGGAATAATGAGGGATAATGACCTAGATAAGATGGA